CAAACAGACAAACCGTTGCATCCTGTTTTGCTGTCCTCTGCTGCGTGGGCTGAATTCTGTAGGGCACCATGGGGATCTCTCCTTTAGGTCAGTAAAGCTGAAGTGCTAAGCAAAAGAATTTTTCTGCCTCCAGTTTGCTAACAGTAAAATGAAACCAAAACCCAAATGCATTTCTAGGGTAGCACTTCCAGGTATCACCCATTCTGTCCTGTTTGTGTAGGCTGCAGCTGGCTTAGAGTGTAAAGTCAATGGAAAGCATCAGCAGTGCCTTCAGCTTGAGCCCAGCTTGTATGAGAGCTGCCAGCTTGTTCATAGCAAGCTCATCCTGGACCAGAACAAGTTCTGTACCTATAGGTAGCAGTAGACAGGAGTCCTTAGGCACTCTGTCTCTTGGCCATTAAAGAGCCGAATTTCTCATAATATTTTCCATACTATAGCATGAAATACCTGATCCAGTGTATCCAGCATCACATGGTGCCTTCCTCAATAGATGATGTGACTCCTGAATTCCTTTTTTAGTCTATAAAATGAGCTAAGCAAATTAAGAGATGCAATTGACTACAAGCTCATCTGTCCTGAAGCATCACAGCAGTGCTTGCTGTCAAAAAGCGTGTTGGAATTTGTGGCTGCTGCCATATCAAATATCAATACAGTCATTTTTATAGACTGTGAAATGCTCAGGTTCAAGCAGAGATCCTATAACATGCTTGATTTTCATTTAGTTCATGCAGAATTCATTACATTTCATATGAGGATTTGATATTATTCTAGTTAAACAAATATATTTTATTGAGTTGATGACAACTGACATCTCTATATCTTTCCTTAGAAGAACCCTTATGCATTAGCAATGGTGATGTATCTATCACAGCCTTGTCAAACTGTCACAGTCTTACTTCCTTACTTCCTGGAAGCTGTTGGCTATTAATGCATGAGTGGACACTTCATTGTTTCATTTTCAGCCATCTGATCTAGGAGATGGATGCATGCCTCCTCATGCCATACAGAGGTGGACTTCATCAAACGTGGGCAGTCTGCATCCATCAAAGCCCCTGGAATACATCACACTTCTGAGGCAATCTTACAAGAAAGCACTGTCAGCAGCTGCATGTCTAATTAGAAAACATCCATGGAGGGGGAGTTTATATAACCAGCTCTGTTGGTCCCTGAGGATGTGCCTCTCTATGCAAACTTTCCAACTGGCACGGTTCTCTGAAAGCATTTTCCTGTTCTGCATGGAAAGCTGCTCAAACTGGGGCTGTGCTGTAAGATGTTCGGTGTGAGCCCAGCAGGAGTATTTGAGGAGAATGGTTTCTAAGCTCCTCTTTCTGGAGATTGCACAGAGGCCTTCTATAGCTGCCCTGCACTAGTGTTTCTGGAGCTGTGATGCTGTGAGTGCAATGAATGGCTGGATAAATCCTCCGAGGCTGCTGGTCCCCCAGATCCATACCCTACATGGAAGCTGAGCACGCTCCCAGGGGTATCTCATGTCTCTCCCCAGCCATGCAGTAGCTGGGGCAGCCCTCTGTGTGGCTGGTTCTTCCCCCAGCTCATCCACTGCCTCTTCCATGTCCTGCATCACTGTCCTCACAAGAAGAGCTGCTCTGAGGTCATGTTTCCTCCTTATGTCCAGGGCATTCTCATGCTCTGCAGTGACAAGAGCACCAGTCTTCTTCCAAAGATAACAACGGCTGTTGAGAGGACAAAAGATTGAGGAGGTTGGAGAGATGAGTCAGACAGAGCACACACTTTGCTTTGGCTAATAGAAAAACTTGTGTTGCTCTGAATGCATCTTCTTACTGTCAGGAGGCAGTGACTACACTTTTGATTTGTCCAAACTGAATCAAGGAGCTGGACGAGCTGGGCCACGGCTCATTCTCCGAAGGAAGAAGCAGTCATATTCAAGCTCTTCCTCTGACCTGAATTCCTGGCCACACAGCAAAGCAGTTTCTTAGCTGAAAGGTAAATGTCAGAAGATAATAGGATTCAATTATTTCTTATTTCCATTTACCAAAGGGAATTAAGTGAGAGTTGAGTTTCCAAATTGATATGCTTCCTTTCAGTGGGAGAAAATGTAAATAGGACCATGTTACTCCATGAGCAGCACCATTTGCCACACCTTCTCTTACACTATTTCTTCCAGGCCAATCTTTTTTATAAGTTAAATGTAGTTCCTCTTATATTTATCATGGTGTAATAAAATCTAATTTCTTTTCCTTCAGTTGCAGGGAATCTGCCCTTCATCTTCCACTTAGATAAGATTGCTGGCTCTTCATGGGAAGAAAGATGTAAGTCAGTATCTCAGTTAAATTAATTTCTTCTTAGTCTAAATGTTGGTAAACTTATTGACTAGCTTCTCCAAAACATCTCTTGGCTTTCCATTCCTAACTCGTGATGTACTAAAGTGATTTTGCTGGGGAGGCAGTTCCTCTGCACTTCAGAATGGAAGCCATTGGGGTTTCAAACCCAGTGTTCCAAAATGGAGGTGCCAGAAGTTAATTACTTCTTGTAGAGAAGTCTGATATTGTTTCAATCGCTGAGATATTTTAGATCTACTTCGTTCATACTTTGTTCTAACCAAGTCTCTATCAAGCTTCAAACAGTTCAGCTATTAATACAGCAAAGACTGTTCTCAAGAACCTCATTACTGCATGACCTTCTTCCCAAAGCTCTGTTGCTGATATTCAGAGAACATACATATCAACTAGTTTGTTTTCCAGATTAAAAAACAACAAAAAGCTCAGAAATGTTTTATTCCTGACAGCTGCAAGTATCTGCTACAGGGCAGGTTGCAGTTGCACTTGAATTCGAGAGAGAAGAGAATCGTTCAAGCCCTGAAGATAAGTGGGAATCTCTGAGTAAAGCATTTTCCTGTTCACCTGTGGAGCTGGAGCATGCTGCTGGCATCTTGCTGCACATCTCTCCAAATCAAGCTGTGTCTGAGGAGCAGCTCCACTGCAGGCAATGCATTGTAATGTTTTTCATGATTCAAGTTTAAATGCTCTTCCTATTCTTATAGCTTGCACTGATATATGCAAAAGATTTTCATTCAAATGGGAACGAAAAGATGAGTGAGTAAGAATGAAGCAGTGAGGAGGTTAACTAGGCAATCCCAAACCAAAGTGTTAAAAAACAGAACTACCTAAACTGTTGTGAGAATAAAGAACTCACCTCAAATGCCACATCTGTGCAAAGCTGCAGGATGGATACAAGATTTTTCAGACTGGGCAGCAACAGCAGGACTGAGTGAATCTGAAAAACAGGTAGATTTGGGGAGAACAGATAAAAGACCAAAGGCAAAACTGTTGCTGAAGTTTCCCTCATTGAGAACTATTAAAAGAATGATTCAATAAATCAGGAGGCAAGGACAAAGGTAATGATAGAATCTTTTATTTTAAACCTGTCTTTAGAGCACAGAAGTGTGTGTGCACATGGGCAGCACTGCACACTCTGGTGTTTCCTAAACTATTTCAACAGTGCCAGAACATTTGTCTGCAGAAAGCTGTGCAGCTGTGTTTGCTCACAGAGCACACATCCCTGCCCTCCAGGTCAGGGGCTGAGAGCTGTTCTCAATGTTTCAGTCATAACAAAGCAGCCAGGCCCATAACCTTGTTTTGTTTAACCACTGCAGAGGCCGGGATTCAGGGGTTTGGATGTAGGGTCAGGTACGTGTGGATGGCTCTGCAGGGTACAGAAGTTGCTTTGTGCCTGCATGTAGTGCAGAGATGTCCTATGTAGCTTGGACAAAAAAAAAAAAGGGAGTCAGTGGAGTTAAGAATCTGTGTTACTGTCACTTATCACAGAGCCAGCCCAGGATTAATGCTGCTCTGACACTGTGCTAATAGCAGGACCTGAAAGCACTCAAGGCCAGGCTGGATGGGGCTGTGAGCAGCCTGTGCTAGAGGGAGGTGTCCCTGCCTATAGCAGGGAATTGGAACTAGATGATCTTAAAGGTCCCTTCCAACCCAAACTATTCTGTGATTCTATGATCTGAAGGTCTCTGTTTTGAGCTGTTGCTTTGTTTTCAGTCTCCCATTCTATTTCTGTTCTTCTCCCTTCATGAAGTAAATCAAATGAGATGTATGTAAACCTCTAAAGGCTTCCAGGTGTTTCTTTCCTTAGTATATTTGGAGGCAATAACATTCAAAGTACAGAAAAGTTTTGGCTCTCTGGTGAGTTTAATTAAAACTAATATGAGTAGATTCGAGGGCTGCATAGGATGAGGCCAACATAGGCTGTGCACTGGAAAGCAGGAGAGCAGCACACCAGGGCTAAGCCCGTGTTTCCCTGGTGTGGGCATCTTCCTGGGCTCAGACACATGCACTGCCTGAATAGCCAGGGGATCGTGCTGGAATGCTGTGACATACATCTGATTGAAAGATGCTGCTAAAGACTGTGGACGTGGAGAGGAAATAAAGCATAAGCTGAAAGTAGAACTAAGAAATGCAGCAGAAGAGCCTTTATTCCCCATGTTACCTCTCTGCAGATACAGGTTATTTTGAGGGAATGCAAGGAGACTGTAATGCTTCTGCTATGTGCTAACTAAAGGCAGAGTCTGGTAGAGCCTGAGATTCTCCAGAACATAATGAAAGCAATGGCTTGGCTGGCAGTGGAGCAGCTTCAGATCTGCTCCCTGGAGGTGCTCCCAGCTCTTCTGCTGTCACCCCCTGGCAGGGGTGTTCCTGAGACTGAGGGATGGCTCTGCCTGAGGTTGTGCTGGGTTAGCTCTGATGCACCAGGTGCTGCACGTTTCAGTTGCATTATCAAGTCTGTCAACTTTATAAAACATAAAGAATTTATGGAGAAGGGAAAGAAAGCTAAATCAAATGTTTCTACGTGTATGGGAACTGTTGAGTCCCAGCCTGAACCACTGATTGAGCACCTGGGGAAAGGACCTGGTCAGCCCTGGGAGCACAGGTGAAGGCAGTTCAGCTGTGAGACAGGAAGGGTTGGAGAGGTTGCACCTCTCTTAGACCTCATTGAAGGGCTGACTGCTAATGGGGAAGGGTCTCTTTTTGGAGACAGCTCCTTACTAAAGCTTTCCCCTGTGAACCTGGAATCTTCTGATACAGGTGAGCAATCCTTATTGCTTTAGTTCCCTTTCTTTATAGCACCTTCTATCATGCCCGTCCTTCCACCTTCCCACCTCTGTTGTAATGCCTTTCCCATTGTATTGATCTGTCCAATTGCTTCACTGCACAAAGCAGAAAGAGCTCTTGTGTTAGGGCTCTGTGCTGTGTCAGGGCAGTGCAAAGCAAAGGGCTGTGATGCCAATGCCTTGTGATACCTGTGCCGCAGCTAAGGTGGATTAGGAGCCTGGCAGTGCCTAGTTCATATGGGTTAGGGAAATAATCTCTTGGGATTCTTGGGTTTCTGCTTGTTTATTTCTTTCGTGATTCTTCACGTCTTTGTGTTTGGGCCTGTGGGATAGGAGGAGCCTACTAGTTCATTAAATGTTTTAATGATCATGGTTTAAGCCAGTTAATTGCAGAGTTTGGTTAGTGCAGCATGACGTATACCTTATGTGCATCCCTGGGACTCCTTTTTGCTTTGACTTCGTGGTAAATTGTCTCATTGCTCTTAAGCTTCACCATTGTTCCACTGAATCTTCTCTTAAACTATTACTTTCATCAGGCACAGCCTGGAGCACAGCAACTGCGCTGTCATTCAGACAGGCAAAAAACTGCGTTGCTCAAATATATGTTCATGTCTGTTTGCATCTTCCATTTTTCTTTAGCAAAGGAATCCAAAGAAAGAACAAAAACCTGAGAACTTTGCCCCTTCTCACCACTGCTTCTTGATTTCTACCTCAGTGTTTCTCCTGCTCACAGACCTGTTTTTAAATTACAAACGCTCTTCCTCATGTAAAACTTCTGAGACCAAGAGAAAGAAACAGCTGATTTCAGAAACTCAAAAACTCTGAATTCTGAGCAGACATGAGAAGAGGGGGTTACAAGTGTTATCTGCTAGAGAAAATCTTTCCGAGTAAGAGGTTAAGGCTGAGGAAAATGTTGGCCAAAAGTCACTGAAGCTGAAATTAAGCACTGCCCTTAAGTGAGGCTGTGGGCTGGGAGAGCAGCGAGTGCTGCTAGCAGCAAGTGGGAGGCTTTCCTCTTTTCTTTAGTGATGCTGCTTCTCACCTTTGTAGCCTTACTGCGGAAGCTTTCACTGCAGAAGTAACAAACTTTTGTGAAGCATTTGCATTGCATCTTGCATTTTTTAGCCTCCCAAAATAACTGTCTGTGAAAATTCAATAGCGATGAAGAAGTGTGACTGCCCCCAAGTCCAGCAACGTCTTTCAAATGTATTTCTAATTCTGAAATGTGTATGCATCTCTAGAACATCTATTTGCAAGATACAGGCTGCTCCAGTAGCATCTGGGGTGCCTTAGCCTAGGCAGCACTTGATTATAGCTGCCTGTGTAATAAAAAAGAAAATCAAATTAAGACCTAAATTAAGTAATTGAATTTCAGTGGCAAAAATGTCTGAAGGAAACAAATTTCAGTTACACCTGTGTGGTTGCAGATGATGAATTTTCACTTGAACTGCAAGCATTCACAGGCAAGCTTGTGCACTCAACCAGTGAGAGAAGAGAATCAATACCAGCCCCGAGCAGCAGCTCAGATTACAGATATTCACTGCTTGTAAAGTCAAACTTTTGAAGTTTAATTGACCAGGAATAATTTGAGGACACAGTGATCTGCACGTGCTTCATAGGCAGAGTGCAGCTGGGTTATTCAGTGGAAATTATTTATCCCACTTTAGAAATTACAGAGCACTTGCAATGAGATTGTGCGTTGCTAAGTTCTTTCCTTTAATTTACTCGCTATCCACCTGAAAAGGAACAGCAATTAGGGACCTGTTTGCACGTTATTTCTTTCCACCATTACTCTTCCAAGTAACCTTTAAAATGCCTGATCTGGATCTCAATAAGCACACACATCTTGCTATGGCTACACAGTACTTTAGCTGTAAAGGAGAAGTTTAACAAGGGATCCGTGATCTCTTTTGCCTTTGCGACTTTCATGTACAGAGCAGAATTAACCGGTGATTCTTGTCTCTGCTTCTCTACTTAAGCCAGTGATCTAAGCGCCCATTTTTCTTGCTCAGCTGCCAGAGGATATTTGCTGTAGTTTTGCCATTAGAGCCTTTGGAGGGGCTGAGAGTTTGGCTCATCCATTTTCATGTCATTTTGTAACCTATTGCAAAGCTTTGTTCCTCTATGAGATAGTTCAATGCTAAGAGTCTCTGGAAGTGACATAGATGGGACAGAAACAGAGATGGGGAAAATACTTCTGAGCAAGGGAAGCAATGTTCAAATTTTTGTTTTAGCCATTCTTCTGCATCTTCAAACTGTGTTGAGAAGAGTTGAAGAAGGCAAAAGTAATGTGAAAAGAATGTAGAAGATGTGTGATGATGTTTCAATTTGGTTTATGAACTTGAACCTTAGTCTTATTCTAAAATCTGCATAAGGTTTATGCAAATGACTGCTGGAGGAAATGAAGTCTTTTGGAGGAGTCTGTGGTGGTGTAGAGAACCCACATGAAATACTTTAGCCTCATCTAATCTATCCTCTGTGCCCAGATGTACACTTTCCCATTAAATTAATGGCACATCAGTTGGATGTCCTTCACTAGTTGCTGTGCCAGGGTACCTCTGGCTGGGCTTGCTAAGCCAGCTGGGCTGGAGGGGCTGCCCAGTCACAGAGTTGTCATGGTTGCAAAGTTGGTGCTCTAAAATAGGTAATGTCATTACTCTTAAGCTGCAGATATCAGCCTCACCAGGTGTGTGATATCTCAAAAGGCAACTATGAACGAACTAGTGAGGCCAATGGACAAAAAAGCATGGGAAGGAACCATCTTGACAGGCTTTCTGCTCGTGCCCAGGTATAGCAATAGTAAATACACAGGTATACACGAACCACTGCTGAGTCCAGTGAGACTTTTTGAGAAATGGTCACAATCAGACTGCAAGATTCAGATTTACGTCAGTGGTAGATCTTGCCTTTTTTTAAAATAATGAAATATAAGTGCATGGGCAGGCCCACAGAATGAACTCCTTACTTCTGAGTTCTAATATGTAGGATTTAAGTAGATTTATAGGCTGAAGTAAGTTTGTGCCCATTAAAAATGTGAACTCAAGGATCCCCAATTACAAAAGACAGTTGTGATGCATTGGTTCTCCTGTCAAGGACCTGGCACCCCTGCCACAGCATTCAGCTCTTACTTTCAAGTGATAAACGTTAAGTAACTCGTAGTACTCAAAAATCTTAATCTGTTTCATTTAGGCAATATATTTGGGGGCTTTTTTTTTGCTTTCATCCAACTTGTTTGAAGAGTTATCAATGTTTGTTCCCCATTAAAATTCCTACCCACTTTTTACAACAGAGTTCCTTGCTGTAAACCATCCTGGGAAGCTGAAATCTCCATTTTCAGGACTGCCTCGCATCCTAAGGGAAAACATCTTTTGGCCAGACTCTGACCTGTTTTATGCTATTTTAATGCAGCACAGCCCTCTCAAAAACCTGCACACTTGATGTGTCTCGGCAGAAGCTTGACACAAGCCTGCATAGCAGTAGTTCAGCAAAAGCTAGTGATCTGTGCAGAGCTTGTCTGAGGGAAATAGCATGTCTTTTTTGAATATTTTAAGGCAGAGTCTCCTGGCTTTCAGTTCTTTTTGCTGTACACTGAAGGAAAATCCTTCTCAAACTTCTGGACATCTTCAAGAGTATCAACGGGCAGTTGCCTATTTTTACCTGCAGCCTTAAGTGAGGTGACTGACTTGAGAGGATGACTGGCTGAAAAACCATCAGAAATTAAACCTCAGCAGGCATCAAGAGTACAGCCAGTGTGAAACAAGGTAAATTGAGTCAGATCTGTCTTATTTATACAATTCTCCTGGGAACACTTCTTCCATCTGTTCCTTGGTTTTGCATCTGGGGTGGACATGGCTGACATCAGCCTTGCATCCCACCCTGCACCTGAGCAGAGAAGAAGAGCTACTGCTGCCTGCTGTCAGTCCAGCCCCATCTAGACCTCAGTGGCCACAGCCAGACTGTAATTACAGACACTCTTCTCTTTGCCCTCGCTGTCATGAAATGCTGAGTGATGTGCGCTCAGTGGTGGCAGTGGCACTCGTACATGTGTTTCATTGTATTCCAGTACCTTAGTTTCCATGGCTACCATAGAAATTGCAGGTTTGCTATACAAATTGGTGGGAGAGATTCAGAACACCAGCCCATATGCTGCAGCCTCCTGAAACTCATTCTCCTCCCCTGGGCGCAGGCTGCTTCCCTCTGTCAGGGGCTGCAGTATTGGTCTCCATTGGGTACGTCTGCTCTTTTGGCACACTGGAGAACTCAGCACACACACAGATTGCCCATTGTCAAGATTTTGACCAGGGAGATGATCTGCATCTGGATGGACAGCCCAAGTGCCTGTCCCTAACGGTTTTATTCTGCTACTCTCTGGGTGTAAAGTAAATGAGTGAGCGTGTATTTTAGCATGTGATCGTGGAGATTTATGCAGAAAGGCTACAGGGAGAACAGAAAGCCAGCTAGGATAGGTAAAACAAAGCCCATCCAGCCTAGTACCTGTTGTGAGTGAAGGCTGACAGCAGGATCCCCAGGGAAGGTTACAGGAACACAGAAGTAGCAGAAATGCTCTTGTTGTGTCCAAGTATCAAAAGCTCTGCTTTCCTGAACCAAAGATGGCATCTCTCTATTTATTTGCTTAGTGTTTTTTTCCTAGTACTCTGTGTAGTTCTCTTGAGCTCCTTTCAAATTTAGCCTCTGCAAGAGCCTAGAAACACATGCCACAGCTTAACTCTGCACTGGGTGAGGAAATCCTTCCTCTTGCTTGCTTTGAATTTGCTGACTTACCGATTATTTACCCTCTCCCAAACACACAGTTGCTTAGCCCTCTACTACCTCACCCCTTTCAGTCATGCCTTTCTCAGCGTGGGCAGTCCTAGTTCATGTAGTCATTCATCAAAGAGAAGCCATTTTTATAACTTGGATCATTTGCCCATCTTCTTGTCGTTCCAGTTTTAATAAATGCTTTCTGAGAAGAACCAGAACAGCTCATGATTGTCCAAATACAAGCATACGGATGTCTCTCTTAAATCCAAGTATCTGGATTGCTCCTGAATACTAAGCTGGTGCTACTTGTGAGAATACCAGGCCTCCTTTCTTCAGAGGCACTTAGCAAGGCAAAGTTCCTCTCTCTGCTTTGAGGAGTCTGCCAGACTTCTTTGTTCCAGCTTAACCACTGGCATGTCTTGTTCGATGGAGTCAAGATCACAGCTGTTCTTGGAATTGTTAGGACCTCAGCCGTGAGATTAGGCAGACCTTTTGACTCCTAGGGCAGAAGTTTTAATTTGCTGTTTGATGTGCCTTTCCCTGAAGTGACTTGTATTTGTGATCTTTCTTGTCCTTCACCAACTATCTGGAGAGCCATGGGTTTCTTCTGCAGTGGAAATGTTAGCTGCCTGTCCAGGTCCATTTCAAATCAACAGTTCTGCACAGTGGACTACTTCAGGGATCATCACACCTCTATCATCACACAATACTTTGTTTGGATCGTTCATTTGTACATTGTCTGCTTTGCCTTTCTACTGCATTCCCTTTCAGAAGCTACAGTCACAGATTGGCATGTCTTCAGGAAGTGGTTTGCTGCACCTGAGTAGAGCAAAGTGTTCATGTGATGGTCCAAGGAGAGAGCTCTCAGGAAGCATGGAGGTGAGCAGTCACAAAGCCTGCACAGATGCTGTGCCTCAAGAAGTGGTGGGGTAGGATGCAGCTACAGGACAGCACAGAATACCAACCCAGAAGTGATGGGAGATCCTCAGACTAGAAAAGTCACCCTCTACCCTGCTTTAACCCAGCGTGAATTTTAGGCAGTCTGTTGACCATCGCTTTTCTGAAGTGGAAGATTCACTGTAGCAGGCAGTTCTGATGATCTTTCAAAATTGTCCTGGTTTAGCTAGTCATAAAATGCTGCACACAGTGGTAATTTCAGTAGGCTTGTCCTGTTACAGCTTGTGATACCGAGGTCACAAAACACAAGCGCCGTACCCTGAAATCACCATGTCCTTTGCTGTACCTGCATTATGCCTGGCACATTCAGTAAACCAAGTATGAGAAGTATGAGGAGTATGTTCATCTGGTGATAATCGAATCGAGAAGAGTGTGCTGTTATATTTGAGTATGTTACTGCAGTTATTAAATAGCCTTCCCAAGATTTATAAAAAAGCTATTTTCAAAAACATTTTGCATCATACCACCATGAAGAAGAGTTCATCAGGAATTTTAAAAGGTCTGTTAGCAATGCACCAGTCTACTTAAGCATTGTGATTTTGTAAATGAACTCAAAATTATGAATAAAACATGAAATAGATTAAGCAAGATGAATGGAGTGTTGAGAGAAGATCCAAAATCTGTTTGGCTAATGCTTATAGCATTAATTCTCCAGAACTGCATTCTTCACACACTGCTAACTGAAAATGCTTCATCCATTCAAACACATACACTGATGTGGAAAAGTTTCCTCTGTTTTCAACTTTTCCCAACTTTGATTTGGAGGGGAGTGGCTGTAAAGAATGATGTCTTGTAAGATGCATCTAAACAAATTTTACTCTGCCCTCTGAAGTCATAGCAGGTGTACAAAATGTTGATGCTGAGTTAGAATCAATCTGTTCTAGAGATGTAGAGTTTTAATGTTTTCTTCTTCTCACGATAGATTTAAGTATCAATGTCTTTGCAATACTAAATACTTTAACATTTCTTTTAAGTGATATTTTAAGTCTGACTTGGATCATTTACATCATCCTGTAAGTAAAAGAATTTCAGTTGTTTAGAACATTTCCTCGTGGACTTCGTGATACTGTTCTTTGGGATTTTGATTAATTTTGTGTGTTCTGATTAATATGTTGAAATAACAAGACTGTGGACTAGTTCTAAGATTTACAGTATACAACAGTGACCTACGTTTTGAGAAGCAAGGCCAGGTTGGATGGGACCCTGGGCAATCTGATCTAATATTTGATCTAGCAGCTGGCAACTCTGTCTGTTGCAGGGGGATTGGAACCTGATGATCCCCGAGGTCCCTTCCAACCCAAGCCATTCTATGATCACTTTCTTGTTTCACCAGATTAAGAGCATCACCAGATTTGCACCCTGGCAATACTGCTCCCTGCCTTAATAATGTATTTTGTGAATTTGTGCTCCAGGTTTAATGGAGAACCGTGCTAGCAGTCTGTAAAGCTGGCAACATTACTCATTTTAAATGCCCAGTAACGTACGTTAAATATGTCTTATCAAAGTTTAACAACTGGGTGGCCCTGGCCATCCTTGCACGCTGAGCCTCTCAGGTGCCCACACAGCGCTCGGTGTGTCTCTGCTTTTTGGCTAGGTTCATTTATGCAGGTGAGTCAGCTAGTAATCTCTCTAGAAAAAATACACCCAGGTGTTTACTGTAAAGCACTCAGTCCTTTGGGCAGGGACACTTAGCATAACTATAGAAAATAATGGAACGAAGTCAGTATAAAGGCTCACCTACTGTAATAGCTGCCTCCAGCAGTGGCCTGTAGCAAGAGAGCAGTGCAAAGACAAGGCAAGCATGCGGTGATACTTTCCAGAATGCTCTCCCAGACTTCAGTGATCTGCAGCAGAATGATTTCCTAAGTCACTGATGGTGCCTGATTTGCACAACCTTGACTGATGGTGGTTGGTGGTTTTTTTTTTGTTTGTTTGTTTGTTTTTTTGTCCATTAATCTCCCCAGTGGGTTTTGAATTCTTCTGCTTGCAATGACAGCCTCTTCTGGTGAGGAAGTTCCACGACGTGGTAAGGATCATCACCAGTTCACACTGCTTGTCTGATGTCTGCAGCGTGAGCTGGAGGGCAGGGATTACACTGTAGGAGCTGTAGAGAAGCTCCTGTGGAACTGCTGCCTTGGAGTTCTCTTTGGGCTGCTCTCAGAGGCACACACAAAGGAGATCAGCACAAGGCAAGATCTCAAAGCTGATGGGACTTGCGGTCAGTGGCAAAATGCAGCTGGAAAGCAGAAATGAAGGGTTTGGATGAGCTCCAGTGTCCTCAATCACATTTTCTTCCTTCTGTGTGTTTGCAGCTTAGCTTGCTCAAATCTAAGTGCTCTTGTCATGGTGCTGTTTGAAAGAACTAAGCTTCCATTGCTTGAAAAATGGTGTGAACACGGGGGTTGGGCTGGTTAGAGAACAACATAAGAAAGCTCAGGGCAGTGCTGAAATTCAGTTTGCTTCAATTTGTCATGTTGTGGGACTGTACCACTGTGGTGTGCTGAATCCCTTCTGGATGCTGGTAGGTTCTCCAGCAGCTGCCCCTCTCCACTGGCAGCTCTTGTCTGTCTCATTCTTGCATGTTGATCCCTGTTATAACTTATCAATGTTGCATCTGCCCCACTCTGTACTCTGATTAAATTAGAATCCCATTAGCCACAATTGGCTGTCAGACAAAGGAAATGCCAGATCTTATTTTCAATATAAGACATGCCCTTTGCTCTGCTGTGCAGCAGAAAATTTCCAAGGAGTCATAAGGCTGCAGCTTTGATAGGATTCCTACATTTCCCCAAGGATTTGTTGAAAATGTAGCAGCCTGGGAGTCGAATGTTAGATTTTAAATTGCACAGTGCGGTGTTGGTGTATTGTCTACAACGAACAGAAGTACTTTCTGAAGAGCTGCCCACTCCCCCGTGCTCCAGGAAAGCTGTCCTTTCTCAGAAGCAGGCAACCCTCAGCCTTCATGCTGATGCTGCAGCTGCAGGAGGAGCTGACAGAAGCTGCCCCTTCGATCCGTTAATAGAGGCACACTGATGGAACCTGTGTCCTGCCTCAGGATGCATGGCAAACATCAAGTTGGGCAGTCCTTTCAGAAATATTGGCAAAAATGGAATTGAATGTGCACTATGTTTTTTTTCTGTTTTTGTTGAAAGAGCCGTGTAACTGCAGAGCATTTTCTCCAGGATCACACACTATGTGTTCCCTTTGGTGTTTCTAGTAGAGCCCATAGGCCTGCAACAGTGTTCAGGAGATTGCTTGCACATCATGGCCTTACCAAGAGATACAGTCATGTTCCAATAGGGATTACAAGTATTAACTCATCAAATGTTTGCCTAAATGCAACATGTTGAAGGTGCCTGGAAAATCATCAACATCTCTGCTTACTTTTAATATTAGCTATTTTCCTTCAAAAGGCAGTGTGTGTCTGCAAGCTTTCTATGCAATCAGGTTGCTTAGCAGCTTAAAGTCTTTAAAACTGTGCATCCGCTTTGTTCTTGTAGACCATTTGGTGCTTTTTACTGAACAGCAATAAAACAAAACTTAAAGACAATATGTTTTTTTTAATGTTTGCTCTTACCCATACATCCCTTCAGGCTGGCCTCACAAATCTCTGGATTTCAGCATCCGATGTTATAATATTTCTCTGCAAAACTCATTTTGTACAATGCGATGCTCTCGCTTAAAAAGATCCCCAAACCAAACAACTTTTCGTATGAGATAGGTTCATTGTCTGCTGCCGAAGAAAAAAGTGGCTTCAGACCACTAAGCAGCTGCCACTGTTTCTATAGACCTTATTTATCCGAAATTGGCTGAATCGTGTACTGTACTTTACAGAAATGGAAAGAAAGCCTGGCTCTAAAGCAGGTGTCTGCAGTGCCTGTGTGTCAGTCAATCCTCTCCAGATCAAAAATTGTGTGCCCACCATGAGAAAGCCAGCAGGTTAAAGTCCTTGTAATATTTCCTGTGTCAGGTTACTGCTTTTTCAGCTTAGGAAATTCAGCTCCAATGCTGTGTTAGCTACCTTGGCAGGTCACACTGGAGCATGTGTGCAACGTGCACCAAAAGTTAACAAAACTGCATCAGGCACTTCCTGTTGATGGCAGCTCAATTACCAGCCATTTGCTGCTCACACAGGGAAACAGAATGTGGTCCTGTTGGGTGCTTCGTTAGTACCATTCAATTTTGGTTGTGTCCAGGCTTGTTCTGTTTTTGTGTTGTTTTCCTTTGAAAACAGTCAAATCAAATATCATAAGATGACCTGTAGTGCTAGTGCTGTTGCAGAAGCAAAAACTGCTTTACTGAAATCAGACCTTCCAGCCTGGTATTCTCATGCTTATAGTTTCTTTCTTTTGTTGTTGTTTTAAACTACTCTGAGGATAAGAAGCAATTTTTTTGAGAATTTTTAGGTGGCATCGTTCTTCAGCAGAGCATTAAGAAGAACAAGAAGGACATCAACACAAGAAGGATGTGAAGCTGTTGGAGTGGGTCCAGAGGAGGGCCATGAAAGATGGTCAGGGGGCTGGAGCATCTCCCCTAAGTAGACAGGCAGAGAGCTGGGGCTGTTCAGCATACAGAGGAAAAGGCTCCGGGGCACCATACAGCCCTTTCAATACCTGAAAGAGCCTACAGGAAAGCTGAGGAGGAACTTTTTATGTGGGCATGTTGTGACAGGATGAGGAAATGGCTTTAAACTGAAAGAGGGTAGATTTAGACCAGATATTAGGAAGAAATTCTTTACTGTGAGGGTGGTGAGAGGTTGGAACAGGTTGCTCAGTGAGGCTGTGAATGCCCCCTCTCTGGAAGAACTCAAGGCCAGGCTGAATGGGGCTGTGAGCAACCTGGGCCAGAGGGAGGTGTCCCTGCCTACTGCAGGGGGCAGAACTAGGTGATCTTAAAGGTCCCTTCTAACCCAAACCGTTCTATGATTCTATGTTTATGCTCTGAGTTGTTCTGTTTTGATGGATCTGTGAGGGATTCTAGATGTGCACAAAGGGTTAATCCCTCTATTTCACCCACAGCTCTCCAGCTGTTTGGTCCTTCAGTCAACCCAAAGGCAGCAAGCACCAAAGCATGCTACAGAAATGCAACGTTTGCACCTGATTTGAGAGGGGAGAACATCAGCTGTGCTGCCGTATTTTAGGGTTTTAGGGTTTTGACCAGATCCAATCCTATGTTCAGTAAGAATGAAATTAATGTGAGGGACTCCTTAAATAAAGATCTCACTGGAGCACTTAATACATTATTGGGCCTCCTCTGCCATTACATTTTTTGGCCTTCCTTGCTTAGCACGGTAATTGCAAATACTGCTGGATTTATAGACTGGGAGTGGATTAACGCTTGCACAATGCTATCTTTCAGAAGGTTCAATTTACATTTATCTTCCTCCTGCTGCTAGTCCCATCGATTGATTTCCA